TTGCCTGTAAACCCTATAATTTTTGCAACGTTTTGCTCAAAACTTACGTCTTTATTAGCGATGGTGATTGACGTTCCCTCCGCCTGCAATTCAATCAATCTAATAAAATTTTCTATATGTGAAGAACTACTTGCTACCATGGCAGAGACCAGCAGCAACAAGGAAATGGGAATCTGCAGCTTTATCTATTCACGAATCCCATAGGCTCTTGAGAGGTATTTATAGGACTCATAGCACTAATATCCGCGCCAAAGACGGTAAAATCCAGTATAAAACTGGATATGCATGCAAGAGAGATATGTATGCAACATTTTAATGGTGCAATCAAATGAAGTTTGCATTAAAAATTAAAGAATAACGATTGGCTATCAAAATGTTCAACATTACGATAGCGCAAATCGCTCGATAACAGCTAAAAAATACAAACATGAGCATCTAAGTTATGGCAAAGTTTTATGGTCAAAGCTCTTCACATATAGCTTCGCAGTTAAAAAAGTTATTCAATAAGCAAATTTAGCAACTTTAATTGAAGTCATGATAACCATTTGATCGCATTAGTTGGCTTTAGCGTTGCCTTTGAGCAAGTTGTGTACATGCTCAAAGGAAACGCTAAAGCCAACTAAAGCGTAATCATTGTAGTAGGAAGATGAAAAAATAGTAGCAAAAACCTCAAATTAGCTCATCAAAACGAACCATTACCCCAAGAAAAGCTGCGCAAAAAAGGGTAGAGGAAGTGCTTGAAAGTTCTTTGAAAAATCATGAGATCGAAAGAATTGCTGTAAGCGAACACTTTTTTGTCTCTTATAATTTCGCTTTCCTTATACCAAACACCTTTTGCACCTCTTGTACCAACTATACGCAATAACCAGATCAAAGCGCTTTCTCTCTCCTTTACAAGGGCCTACAACTGTTTTAACTTGGTGAAGAAAACGCAAAGTCCTCTCCAAGCAAACGGCTGTAGTATGTCCTGCTTGCCCAAGTTAATTAAGAAAGGTGCAGTTTGACAGTGTTCTGCAAACCTTGGGAATTAATCTAGAAACATTGATCTTTCTATGTTTGAGAGGACGATGTGTGATGTTGACTCCTCATTAAGCATTAAGCCTTTGTAAAATGTCATTGCTGTAACAATCTAAGCATATAAACGCAAATTGTGTGAACAGAAGCTCTCAAGATTCTCCGAAAAGGGTTACTTACAAGGTGGACACTGCGACAGCGTGATGCAAGGACATTCATGAGTCGCAACGCTTTTAGACATCTGACAAAGCAGCCTGCTACGGCTGACAGTTATTTCATGATACTTTTATATTTACCGAGTATACCGTAATAAATAAGCCATGATTAATCCTTATTCCATAATCCTCAAATCTCATTTCATTGATCTTGCAATACTCCTAAGCTCTTAACCGATTTTAGGCAGTGTCAAAAACCCTAGAAGCTTCAATCTTACCAAAATTATTTTTTCCCGAGCGCAGCGAGCTGATTTTTAATTGACTTATGCGCTTTGGCTTGATCTTTGAAGAGATAACCACATTTCTTACACAAAGCGCCGTTTTGCGCGCTGGAGCCTACAGCTTTCTGTTCTGTTTTTTAAAGTGGAAAAAAACTTCAGAAACCCATTTGAAAATGTGGTCTAAATCATAACACGCTGCCTATTTTTACTCGTCACCTTGCTTGATGACCTTCAGTTTTTTGATGATGGCAGTAAATTAAAGCATTGTTTATAGGATCTTTCAAATTAGGAAGGAATGGAATATTTCCTAAGAAGAACGACCCTAAATTCCTATTAAAATCCACTTATTTTTATGTGCGAAAAAAGCAAACAGATATTTACAATGATTAAAGAAAACTCACAGTGAACTTCAGGGTAATTTAGCCCCATTAATGTTTACAGCTTGGAAAAATGGAACGTATGTAGTCCAAGCTTCATGCAGCTTCTTTATCGGATTATTGCCTGAATCATCAGCTCTGGAACGAAGTAATACCACTGCTTTGAAGTCTGAATTTAAAAAACGAGTCCCTAGTGATCCCAATTTTGTGAACAAAGCTCGAGTAGGTGTAAAATGCGAGACATGGTTCCTTTACAAAGATCAGATCGAGGGTTTCCTGTTGCACGTCGACTCGCCTGCTTGGAAGCAATGCTATCTCTCCATTTCACAAGTCGGGGAGCTGAATGAAGCTTGGGCTTTATTTTACTTCAAAAATAAATCGTTAGAGTTACTTGCAATACAAAAGTTACAATATCTCTTGAGGGATGAGCCTTGGTACTCTAAACTAAGTGCGTTCGGCAGTCGAGAAAATGTTTCCGTAGAAAATTGGGAGGGGAGAAGGACGGTGATATGGTCTTGGTATGTCTGAATAACAAAAATTGAACAGCAAAACATTGTTGAAAATATAAGAAAATATAAAAACGCTACGAACTTATTCTCCAACCAATATATCAACTACTTCAAGGTTTCCGACTTCATCTAATTTTCTCCGGTGGGGTAGGCTGTTTTAGAACCAATTCAAAATTAATCATTTTCAAATGCCAAATTACACCAGCAGATAGCAACTATCATGATTCTCCATAGTACTTGTATTACGTTCGTAATCCTCTTTTGGTAGAATGGTGTTATTGTTTACTCAGAATGTGGCCTAATGTATAAAAGAGATGTGTCAGTTAAGTGCAAATTTTGTGAAATCCTCGGTAAGAATTTAGATGAAATAAGTAGTTTTTAACACAGTTTTGAGAATTATATGGGAAATTATGATATTTCCTATTACTGGTGTCGTTTGGATAAAGAACGATCAATTTTGAATGATTAGATTTTTATGGTATAACATAACGCGCAGTCACAAATGAAATTTGTAACGATAACTTTCTTAAGGAAACAAGAATATACGTTAGTACAGTCATTAATTGTTGTTGGCCCTCATTGAAGAGCAAAATTCTTCTTCAGTGGTTTAGCATAGGCTCCCTCTCCTAACAATAGAGGGAATGATTAAAACATACGTCTCCATGGAGTGCGATATAGGTTAATGCGTGCGCTCTTAGTGTACCCTAAAGCCCTTTACTCCTACCGTTGACTTGAAATGTTAACCCTACTCATATTTCTCTTTCTTCCACTACAATACAGATGTGATTCTCCTGCTCTGACCTGCACAGCATGCGATGAACAGACAACAACGTTGCCAGCTCCAAAAACCTGCAGCTTTCAGGTAAGAACTGTGTAAGAACTGAAGTGGGTACAAGTCTTGATTTTGCAAAATTGTAAAACTTGTAGATTTACGACTACAACCCCGTTATTTCTTCTACTTGTACATGTCCAAATTCATCATTTGCCTTAGTGTACAAGAACGATACCGGGAAGATCTATTGCTACGATCCTAGCCTTACAGGTAATCCCTTTTATTGTTTTCAATTGTAAATCTATAGTTCATATTTTTTGAATTGGTTTTTAAAATTTCCATTGTTTGTAGGGACTCAAAATGTAGGAAAAAACAAAATTTAAGTAACATTTAACCCCATACTCTCGAGAAGAAATGAGATTATCGCAAATACTGTTAGTGTATTTATTGAAGTCAATATTAGCATATAAAAAGAGTAAATAAGTGATAGCAATTGCTAGATGTAACTTTTTTTTAGAGGAATGCGTTGATGTGAACCCACCCGACGATATCTGTGACTCTGAACAAAATGTCAGATGTACAACGACAGTGGTGAATGGTTCAAATAAGAATATTGTAAAGGTCAGGATTGACATTTTTAGCAATTTTGCGAGTTATGACTCTGCAAGACAAAAAATTGGTTTCTTCTCTAGTATCTGCTATATGTTATCACGGCATGGATAATAATATGGTGTCTGGCGACGATAGCAGTCAACATTAAGCACAAGTAAGTTTAAATATCATATGTGATAAGTTAGTCTATGCTTGATTTACTGACATAGATTCTATTTGTGAGACAACATAACTGATATAAATCAAGATGAGAAGCTTCTAGAGATTTGAAAGATATCGATAAAGTAAAAGACATAGGCAAAGATAAGACATTGAGACTCCTTTCAGAACAAGCTAACAATTGGTTAGATAGATTGCAAGATAAAATATACATGTATATGTTGAATCTTCACTCTGCTCGAAGAACTCTGAAAAA